ACTGAACAAATACCAAATATCAGGCATAAGTTTGGACTTCCATTTCTATCAGCTGTCTCACAACCTACCTTAAGCTGTCTGCTAAACAGTGTCTCCCTCCAAAGAGAATCCCTCAAATGGTAACCAGCACATTACTTTTATGCCCCAAGACATAATATGAATGAAACTGAAGAGATGGAAATGTGCAATGAGAAGAAACCATTCACTCACAGAGTTATTGATAAGTAAAAGCTTTAGTTCAGTTATTGATAACTGAAATTAATCTTTTTAAACACTAACAAGCCAAACAGCGTAAGTGAAGATCGTACATTCCTGAAGGCTGAGAAAAAACATTTGAGAAAGCTACACTTAAACCTTTCCACTACAAAGTATGAGTAGCAACACTGACTCTGCGGCAGGAAGTAAATCAGGCCCTACCCCCTAACCTCCTGAATTGGAACTAAGTTAGCAGCATGCTTATCTGGTCACTATTAACTGTCATGCATGGTCTGCGTACATGTTTTGTCTCCACAACTATTCCGTTTTAAAGATTAAAGGATACTTAAATAATTACTCAATAGATTTTTTAAATATCAATACTTCAATGGAAGGTTCCCTGGACAACCTCCAGGTGGGGAGCCCAGCACTAAGAGATTCCGAGAAATCAGAAATGAGTCTGGAACTACCTGCTCATTCATTCAATGTTGTTGACTTATCCCTTCTAGATACAGGGGATAAAAGAGAACAAGATGTTTCAGGGAAGGACACTGACTGCAAAAAGATAAAATCATTCCACTGCGACAGTCCCCTGCCTTGACCACGGTGACAACAGAGCAGTTCCCACACATATGAAGGGAGTTCCCAGGCTGTGGGCAGCCAAAAATGCACTAACATCTACCTCGAAGGTTGAAATTGACTATTATAACCATGAGAGTGCACGTAAAAACTTGTACATGAATGTTCACAGCAGCATTATTTGTAATAGCCAAAATGTAGAAACAGCTCATATATCCATCAGCTGATGAATAAACAAAAAGTAGTATATCCACACAATGGAATATTAATCAACTACTTACAGGGATGAAGTACTGAAACATGCTACAACATGGATTAACACCAAAAACATTGTTAAAGACACACACAGAAGGCACATACTGTATGATTCCATTTATAGGAGTCTAGAATAAGGAAATCCAAAGACGCAACGGGTACCACTGGCTGTCAGGGGCCAGAGGCAGGGAGGCAGGATGATAGAGGATAACTGCTAATGGGCACCGGGTTTCTGTTGGGGGTGATGACAGTGTTCTCAAATTAGACAATGGTGATGGTTGCACAACTCTGTGAATATACAAAACCACAGTGAACTTTACACTTAACACAAAAGAGAAATAAAAGCAAAGAGAAGGAATGCAAACATAAAGAAACTAGAAAGAAGAGTAAGTAAAAGGAAGCTGAATAATGGCTGCATTCATCTAAATTTAGAAAAGGGACTTCTATAAAATAATGTCTAATATTTCCACTATCTTTACTCACAACTTATTTGGTGAAGAACTGTGTCCTTAGGAAAGGATATTTCACAAAAATGATTACCACTTATGTAAACGTTAAAAAGAAACATTATTCTCTTCATTTGGACTAATTTCTTAGTACTGGGTTTTTGAAACAATTAGGGTTGGAGTTTTGCTGTCGGTATGCTATGGGTAATTGATTCATCTCAGAGCAAGAGATGGTACTTTCCAGGCTGATGGAAGAGAAAATTCTATTAATTGGATTTTACTTTAAATTATTGAATACTACTTTTGCACTTCAGATTTACATAACTTTTCCCCCTTTTTCTAACTCAAAGCCAAGAGGAGAACAGAATTTCTCAACTTCAGAAGTAACAACTTTCTGGCCCAGATAATCTCTAGGCCACTGCAGGCCTAATCTGCATGAGGTCTAGCAGCATCCCTGGCTTCTACTCACTAGATGCCATAAGTCATACACACACTCTCTCTCTCTCTCTCACACACACAACAACAACAACAACAACAACAACAACCAAAAATGACAACAACAACAACCAAAAATGTCTCCAGATATTGCCAACAACAACCAAAAATGTCTCCAGATATTGCCAAATGCCTGGAGTGGCAAAATTTTTACCCGGTTGAGAACCACTGGAGTAAAGTGGAGAACCACTCCTCAAAATTCAGTGTAACAGAGCCAGGCTGGGGAAACTTATTTCACACTTCACACTGAGAGAAGCAATTATGCTAAGGAGATGCTAACACTGCTGGGTACCCTGCCAAAAGCCAGGGCTCAGAATTGCCTAAAAACATGACAGTAGCGATTATCTCTTGAAATTCCGTGCCCTGGAAAGAAAGTAAAAATAAAAAAACATAAATAAAAAGGTAAGTAGAAAAACATAACTTTTATGTTGCTGGCATCCATCCCAAAATGACTATCTAGACCTGCCCTGTCCAACAGAACATTGTTCTGAGATGATGAAAATGTTCTATACTGTGCTGTCCAACACAGTGGCCACTAGCTACATGGGGCAAAACAGCACTGGAAACATGACTAAAGAACAGAAATTTTAATTTTACTTAATTTCTAACTAAAGTTAAGTTGCCACAGGTAGCTAAAGGTTACCAGATTGGACAATGCAGATCTATACCTTGCTATCATTCTTCTTATTACTGTTGTTAGTCAACATTAAAAGTATGTTCTTGGTAAAAGTCTAGCTCTTCCTCTTTGGGCAATTATTCCAGCAGCAACTCCCTGGTCTCTAGGGTAAGAAGATCAATACCTGTCCCTGACAACAGCCAGGCCAATCCTCCAATCTTGTTTGGCCTTTAACGTGCTGTGTGTTCCTTTTCTGAATTCCTGTTTCATTTTTGTACCACCTTAGTCTTCCCCAAAATCCAGAATGAGCAGCTGGACTTCTGTGAAAGGTATCTACCAGTATAAGGGACAAATTGTTCAGAAAAAGTACAACTAGTAAAAGGGAAAATTATCTCATTCATTTATTGTTTGGTTTTTAAGTAACTCTCTCTCAGGTAGAATATTCTATCCATAAAAACAGAACCCTTTTCTGTGTGTTTTTGTTGTTTTTACCACCTATATCGCCCTGTGTGTTTTACAGGCCTTCCACATCTGGAACAATGTCTAATTTCTCCAGCAACTGGTCTTCCTGGAACACCAGTTTTATCATATAATGGGAACATTAAAGGTGTATGAGTTCTTCACATTTGTGTATATCAACTGATTTAAGTATATGAGAGGGAAAAATGGTGCGTGTTCTCTATTGAGGCAAAGAAAGAAAATTAAAAATTCTAGCCTCATCAAAAATCTCCCACAGAATCAAGTCTTAACTCTGCAGGTAAACATTAACAACTGCATAACCTAGCCCCACCCTATTGAATTTTAACTACACTCCTCAAAAAATAACTCTCCAGAGTAGTTACTCATGGTTGGAATAATAATTCTTATCCCGAACTCTTCTAAGTTAATCTCTCCCTAAACTGCCAAAAAAATCCCCTTGTCTTACACGACACACTGTGGTCAGAATGACGAACTCATCACCTGGCAAGGCCATTTATAACCTCAATCAGGCCATGAGCAACCAGAATGCAAATCCTGAGTCCCTCATGTTTCATCTTTTCCACCTCCAACACAGGTCCCTACAATGAATACACACTTATTTGGCAAATGGAATAGTAAATAAATGAGCAACAGACAGTGTAACTGAAATTACCCTTAAATACATTAATTTAGTACCTTCTTTCCCTAACTCAGAAATACTCAAGATAACAGAAGCAATATCAATAGTTTCATGGCAGTGGCTTCATTGAACTTTCACATTCATTATCCTCTTTACTCCGTTGAGTACTTACTATTATAACCTTCTTTAGTTAGCTGAGGTTTAAAGAAGTTATTTTCCTCAAGATTACACACTAGTAAATGGCAAAGCTGATACTAGAGACCAGGCCAGTAATTCAGTGCTCTTTCCAATGTTCTAACTCATCTTTCACTTCCCTTCCCTTCCTTTAAAAGCTAAGGAAGAGGTAATAACAAAAAGAAGAAAGGGATCAGGTTCGAATCAGTACCAACAGCAGATAAGGTAAATGAATGACTGCAAATGGACATTTGCCTGAAATGGCTTCTTTTTTTTTTTTTCCCTTGACTCATCAAGGGTAATGATTGGCAGGGCTGCGTTTAAACCTCATGATTTTGTTGCACTGTGAAATAAAAACGTCCACCTAAACCTAAAACCACAGCGCCTTTCTAGACTGCCAAGTTGGACACCACCTCCCCACCACGCCCGGTATCGACGTTTATTAGATTGTCTGTTTCTTATCAAAGAATAAGGAAGGAAGCAACCTAAATGAGGACACGACATCTGACAACATCAAAGCCAACTGGCTGTCGTTGCTAAATGTTATAAACCATTAATCTTCCCACACCTTACTGTCTCCAGGAATCGAGTCTTAAAACTCATGTTATGTGTTAGATATTCGAATTTAACACCGACCCACAAAGAAACCTCAGTTCAGGGCAGTCTCAGCTCATGAATGGCTACATTGTTGGGCACTCTCCCTTCACACTGAAACGCAGAAATGGAAAGACTTGGAAATGGACCCAAACCTCGGCTAACTGCACTGGCAGAGCCAAGAAAAACCAGCAGCACACGGAAGACGCCCGCCTCCGCCTCCACTGCAGACCACGTAGCTCCCGGGGATGCCGGCAGCTCCCCACATCGAGGGTGCAGGTTTCAGCAGCCTCCAGCTGTCTCCGGAAAGGCTAAGATCTCCTTTGAGCCGACGACAGAGGGTGGGTCGGAAGGCACACACCACCCAGCCCCAGACCCCGGCCGCGCCACCTCTTCCCGCACTACCCACCACCCCAGCTGATAGGCACCGCGGCCTCTAGTACCCATCCTCGGCGCCCCAGAGAGAGTACAGAGGAGGCGGAGAGGAGACAGCGGCTCCGGAACCAGATGCAGCCGGAGGCTCCCAGCCTCCTCTCTTTCCACTCACCCAGTTTTGCGCGTTGTTGCTCAGCTTGACTTTCTTGCACAGGCTCCCGGGGACCTCCATGGCTGTAGAACACGCGCTGGTGCCGTGGTCCTCAGGATTTGCAGGCCAACCGAAGCAAGGAAGGCCAGCGGGGGCGGGGCTGTGTTGGAGGCGGGGTCTCCTCGCGTCGGCGGGCGCACGCTTACGTACGCTCGTGCTCGTGACTCCGCCTGCGGGAGTGTCAGCATCTCCTGGCAGAAGCCCGGCGCAAATACTTGTAAGGGAGGCAAAGTGGAAGAGGAGAACTGAGGGCCGAAAGAAGGCAGGGTTTGGAGAGCCCACGGTGCTATTCCTTGCTAATTCTGAGGAAGGAACAGGGCCTGGGAAGGTAATCGTGGAACGCCCAGACTGTTCCCCGTCAGCCGCCTTTCGCTGCGCCTGGGCGGAGACTGGGCCGTTCTGGGCACTTGCCTCCGGGAGAATAGCTCCTGGTTCTTCCTTAGAGTGCTCGTTGGGAGAAAACGTCACCTGAATTCCCGCCCTTCCGGCTTTTCCACCATAAACCCGGCCAGTAGTCTCTGGTGTCCACCCAGTCTTTCCGCTTGTTAGCTGGGCCACATTTTAAAATGGATTTTCCAGACTTACACAGGGAAGAATTGGTTCCCTGAACTTATTTTCCCCAAGTTTCTTCATTTTAAAAATCTGCTCAACATAATTTTTACCAAAACCAATGCCCCATCTCTGGACATCAATAATTAACACCTAGACTGGGCTTAGTGGTTATTTACAAAGTGCCTCCTAATGCAGAGATGTAGTGGAATAAGCATTGCTGAGACAGCCACTTAAAATAGTCAGGAGGCTATTAAGGAAGTGGGGCCTATGAACATTTTGCGCCTTAGTTCTCAGACCTTCTCTCAAGTTACTAACCAGTTGCTAAACTGAGCTCAAGGTGGAGCCATATCATTCTAGAACAGCATCTGGGCAGGGCAATATACGGACTTTGCTTCCTACCTTGTAGTTTTTCCCTCATTTGCATATTAGGACTAACCAATCCCTGTGAACCTATCCTATATTTGCATGGAAGAATTACACTGTGGTTTTTTCCTTTATAAACCTTACCCTTCTTTGTTCCTCCGGAGCAATTTGGGTTGCTACCTAGATCTGAGTGTGTCAGATTGCAATACTTTTACTCCAATACATGCCTTTTCTTTATTACAGTCTGAACCTCTTCTTTGGTTACCACCCACTGGGAAACCTCTCTTCACATCAGGAAATTGCTGTCCAGTGCTTCGCATGAACTAGGCTGAAAGGGAGCCTCTATATTATTAGCTCCTGAGGAAAGTCTTAGAGGACTGAAATTCAGGCTTACGATGGCTGCTGGCTACCGCAGGGTAGAATGCCCACTGGTGGAGGGCACTTTCAAATTCACCAAATTATTCCAGGGCTAGTTCAAAGGCAGATTAGCTGGAAGGTATAGGGGAGCTTTTTTGATGAGTTATCGCCTGTCCCATTGCCGTTACTCTAAGTGCTTCTCCACAGCTTGCCCCTGGCCCCAAGACTGTTGTCTGAAGCTCTGTTCTTCCATAACCCAACACCCTCTCCCCTCAATATGCACGCAGGCACACAGGCACACCGATCTCTAAGACCTGAAGCTGCTGCCTCTTAACAGCTAGCAAATACGTCCCCTATTTATTTACCAGAATGCTAATGTCTCAAATTTGGCCTTTCCTACATCCAACGTGAATTACAGCTAAGCCTCCTACCTGAACATCCTCCCACCCGTGCAGCTGGTTTCTCCACACCTCCCACGCACAACATTTTTGCAAATTCTGTCAGAGTGCTATTTCTAAAATTGAAGTTCAGTCTTGTTATTAGGCCAATTAAAATGTCAGTGGTTCCCTACAGCTTTATCTAGAGATTCTTACTCAGGGGTCTGTATATTGAATTGAATCTCAGTATAATTCTGAATTCTGCCAATGACAGGAACAGGCTTCAGATGAAAAGACACCACGACATTTGGAATGAGCCCTTTCTCCAAGGAGTCCTGATCCTTGTTAGGAGGAAATAGTATTTAGGTTTCACAATCTGTACTTTATGAGTGCTCATTTGCTTATGACAATCTACATTTCTAGTCTTTTTAATGAAAGACTTTTTAAGGTAAGTTATATCATTAGTTTCCATCGATATATCAATTCAAATTCATGATTCCAGACATGGATCATGCAAATAAGCCTGAAACAACTTGTCAAACCAGAAACAAGGAAATTATCAAGAAATTATAGGACTCAAGAGTCAACTTGAAGAAGCTTTCCCATGTCAAAGATGGTAAATTAGAGCACTAAGGTGTAATAATTAAAAGATATTAAAACAAATCAAATGTGTTTAAATCTAGGTTTTCAAAATAATGATAATTTAAAAACTCATTCTCAGCCTTGGAGGATATTGGTGAAACAACTTATTATTTGGAAAACTAATAAAGGGAAATGATTAAGCACTTACTCTGCATTCCCTGCACTAACTGTATGTCAACTAATAAAGAAATTAATGAGGGGAAGTTTCCCTTTGTAGAAGCACAGCTAAAATTAAGAAGAAAAGATAGAATTATAATATCACTATTTTACAACTTCTAATAAAATGGATAAAAACAATGATCTTCAATGGCTGCTAATATGAAAATAAAGAACATCAGAACTTTTTTCCTCCTGATGAAGTAGTAATGCAAAAAAGTATCAAATCTAATTATAATTAAGCCTTCAGGTCTAATTATCAATTTACAGTTAATACAGAGGAAAGAAGAAGATTTAAAATTACCACAGATACAACCAAATCCAAACTGTGAAAAATGCTACATCATAAATGATCTGATTCTTCAATAATTTTAATGACAGAAAAAAAAGAAATGATGAAGAACTAAAGGTTAAAATAAAACTTAAGAGAAACATCAAGTAGTTGAAATATATGGGATTTATTTGAACACTAATTCAAACAAAAAAACAAAAATGTATGTAGAAAAGGAAAAATTTGAAGAATTTCTGGATTCTTAATAGTAAAGTCTTATATGTTTTGGTGTGATAATAGCATTGTTGTTATATTCTTGAAGGAGTAAAATTAGAGTACATAATAAAAGATTTATCAACAAAATGGTAAGTCCGTAAGATTCAGGAAAAAAATAGGGATCTTGGAAAGTAAAAGCAAGATAACAAGAATGGAGAAAAAGAAAGTGAGGATATATCTCAGAATGCAGAGTAAAAACCCCAAAATATGAAAAAATTGAGGGAAAATTTTAAAAGAAAAACACAGTCCCAGAAATTTAACATCTAAATGTTAGGAGTTCCGTAAAGAGAAAACTCAGAGGTGGAAATAACCAAGGAAATTATTCAGAAAAGAAAACCCTACCATTGAAGGACTTGAGTCCTTTCCTGAACATCCAGCTCAACAGACAAAAATCAAACACAAAGCACAGCACTATGAAATTTTACAGCACTGTTCCCCAGCATCCTGAAATTGGAAATACAAGCTTCCAAGGAGATGAAGAGTTCACAAAGAATCAGGAATAAAAATGAATTGAAGCTCTAAATAAAAACACTGAGAGCTAGAAGACATAAGATGGACCAATATTTTCAGAGGTCCGAAAGAAAAATTTTTCCGACTTATAATTTGAAACTAGCATACACACTTTCTCAAGGCAATATTGGAAGATATCCTCCACCAAAATGGAAAGAAAAAGACATGGCATCCAGAAAACAAGAGTTTTTGCACAGGAGACAACGGAAGGGAATTTCTGGATGATGGTAAAAGGAGATCCCAGGATGATTGTTATGTACCAGGAGTCAGGTGTCTTTGCCAGAGGTTGGAAGGCCCCTGGGGAGCCTTATTTAGAAAAATGAAATTGATAGAACATCTGATGGGAATGACAATATTGAAAATGGTTCGGACAACTGACAGAGTTTGGAGTTAAATTAATGACAACTACTTAGAAAACTAAGTCATCAAAAAGGTCACATTTATCATACCCTTTCTGAACAAACTGTATTCAAGGTAATCAAATAACTGAAAATTTCATACTGACAGTTTATGTTAATGAATGCGGAAGGAATATTGACATTTAAAATCACCATTTTAAACACCTGAGGAGTAATTAATGATTATGGGCAATAATCATTAGTAGCTGCTAGAAGTATTAGGTGAAAGATAGTATGGTAGTTAATTTTATGTGTTAACTTGACTGGGTCACAGGGTGCCCAGGAACTTGATTAAAAATTATTCTGGGTGTATCTGTGAGAGTGCTTCTGGATAAGAATAACATTTAAATTAGTAGAGTGAGTAAAGGAGATTGCCCTTACTAGTATAGGTGCTCCTCATGCAATCAGTTGAAGGCCTGAGTAAAAGAAAAAAAATGACTCTTCTGCAAGTAAGAAGGAACTCCTCCTGCCTTACTGACTTGAACTGAGACATTCATTTTTGTTTGGTTGGTTGGTTGTTTCGTTGGTTGGGTTGGTTGTTGTTGGGTTTGTTTTTTGCCTTCAGACTTGAACTGAAACATTGGCTCTTTGATCTCAACCTGGTTTTCAGTTTGGAATTTCAGCCATCAGCTCTCCTGGTTCTTAGGTCTTTGGACTCAGAATGGAAGAATGCCATAAGCTTTCCTGGGTCTCCAGCTTGCTGACTAAAACTCTTGGGATTTCTCTACCTCTGTAATCATATGAGCCAATTCCTTAAAATAAATCTCTATCTGGTTTATTGGTTCTATTTCTCTTGAGTATCCTTATGAATACAGATAGAAAAGGGAATTTTATAATGGAGGGAGCAGGCTGATACCAGCTGTATCCAATGATTAATATTAGCTTCTCTAAAACTGGGACACCAGCTACCATTTACCTTAAAGTGTGATATAATAAGAAATATTCAGCACTAATTGTCTTAGTTTGGGTTGTTCAAGAAGCAGGCTTGGAAGAAGGATTCGAGTACAAATTATTTATTTGGGAGGTGATCCAAAAGCACCATTAGTGGAGTGTGAAAGCAATACAGGAACAGAAAGTCAATCAACAGTATGTTATCAAGCAGCATTTTGGGCAACTGGAGCTTAATGCTACCAGAGAACTCTGAGTGTAGAAAATGTCCTTTAGAGTATTACCTGAGACCAGAGGGCTGGAATATTTATACAACTTCCTTCAGTAATTATTTAAGTGCTACTCCCAGGGGTGTTCATCCCTGGTACTTTGGATGGCAATGCACATAGGTAGAGAAGACACTGGTCCCAAAGAAAGTAATGTAGGTATACTCACAGGTGACAGTCACAATGACATATTCCACAATAGTAATGACAGAGGGGATATGAATGGGGCAACAGAAGTGTTTGGTTAATCATTTATGAAGTATTCTTTAGAATATAAAAAGCAGTGA